AAGAAGAAGAGGTGGAGACGAAGGCCAGAAGTCCCCAGGTCTGTGGAACTTAGAAAAGGAGGAGGCACCTTGCCCAACATCCAGTGTTTTTCTTGAAAGTATCTAGAACTTGTGACAACCAAGTGGAAGGAATTATTAGGGACAAGCCTGGAGGTGGGAGGAAGAGAAGGGAGGGTGTTAGGAGAGCCCGGGAAAGACATCAAAGTCCTGACTAAGGTGGTGATGGAGATGGGAGATGGGTTTCTAACTTCAGAATGATGGGGTGTCACCAAGGCGATGCCCTGGAATGCGGAACGCTCTGCAGGAAACAGCCTTCCGGGCCGGATTGGGATACTGCCTGAGGGGGCACAGGGCCCCTTGCATATTTGGTAAGGACCTCTGGGACGAAGGAATGGATGCCTGCTGTCTGCCCAGCGTCCTGCTCCTACCTCTGTCCGTCACCCCTCCATCTTTTGGAGAAATTGCCGGTCCACTGTCCAGTCCATCACAGAATCTCATCCTCCTGGTCAGAAATGGACTTGCCGTCTCTCCCGCCACAACAAGTAGCTCAAAAGTGGGCACATGGCTCAGTGTGAGTCACCCATGGCCTTTCGCAGGTCTGTCCTTGAATAAGGCCCTTGGTGTGTCTGGATAATTGTGACTCTCGGACTGCTGGGGGCTTGAGTCTGGCCGGTGGAGAAGGTCTGACCTCCCTGGGAAACATGTCAATGTAAGGAGACAAGTAGGAGTGAGTGATGGACACAGAGAGAGTCTGACTCCACCCAGACCCAGATCTCCCGTCAGTTCCTACAGCTCCCATCCCGTGAGCCAGCCCAGGATCTTCTCACAAACCGCCTCCATCCTTTCCTTTTTCCTTAAGCCAGTCTGAGCTGCCTTTCTGTCATTTACAATCAAACAATTTTTACTGATTTTACTGCAAAGGAAAGGAACTTCGGCGACTTCAGTGGCTGCCTCCCTGCGTGAAGGAATGCGGGGCCAGCGCCTGGACTGTGCACCCACACGAGCGGCTGCGGGAGGGTGGGTGGGTTAGGGTTGCCCATTCCGTTCAGCTGAACAAAGGGCTTTTATAAGGATGGCGCTGAACAGAAGTCGGCAAACTCTCCCCAGGGGGAGTATGAGCCAGGGAGAGACACATAAACAAAATGTAAGGAAACATCTGCTGAAAGCAAGGATTATTTTTAAAAAGTGTTTTAATATCAGAGAGGAGGGACTCTTCTCTGCTTGTATTTGAGAGACAATGAGTGAGAACCAGAGAGGAAGACTGAACTCGTCTTTTTACAAGAGGCCGGGGACTGGGCTACTGAGGCCTGGGGTCGCACAGGTCAATGATGGAAATTTTACTTGTGAACGAGCAACTCGCTTCCTGGTAATTCTGTGGCATCAGAGTCTGGGCTGCCTTCACAAAGCGCCTGTATCTAATGACGTTGAAAGCGCATTTTAAAACAGCACTCAGTCAAGGGAGGAGGTGTGTGCCTCGTTCCCACTTGGTCCCAAGCAAGAAACCGTGGTATCTCCACAGGAACCTGCCTTGAAGACTATGTGGCGAGGTCTAAAGCTTCACAACACAGGAGAACCCGTCGCTTCTAAACGAAGAACGCCCAATGCCCTTATTTGATTTGTCAGCAGTGAATGCATGCAAGACTCTAATTCAACGCACAACTGGAGTCCTGGCAAGTTCGCCCCAGAGGCGTGGCCTCCGAGGGGTGCCGGTAGGTGGCGCAGCAGGCCAACTCACGCCCCTTCTCCCACCGCTGGCTGCCTGGTTTCCACTGCACCTCCCCTCTTATCAGGTGGTCATCGCAGGCCGCCTGATAAGCATTCAGGAAATGCTTAGAACCCGTTCAGCAGAAAGTGTCATGTCACCTCAGCGGAGTGATGCGTATTATTAGGATGTCTCTGCCACGATTTTTCAGAACCTGAAATCGGCCTATTTCTTTATTTCTTGAGCGTATATGAAAACAGGACTTTTACACTAATCATATGGAAGTGAACAGGGTGTAGACATAAAATAATGGTTTTTGTCCCCGCAGTTGCCTAATTCTAATCCGTCCTCTGGGCTAGCCCTTCTTTGCTGCTTGAATGGTATCTAGAGCCATAATGTCTCTGGTTGCCCCTGAGTAATGAATGGCCTTTTATTTACTTTTAACCCCCAAACTGTCTTATTCCTGCAGTTAGAATAGTGATTCTTATGACCATCAGACACAGAACTATTTGTGAAGTTAAACCTCCTTGTTCTCCCCTATCTCAGGCTCATTTTAGTCTAGGGCAGGGGTGGGGAGCCTTTTTCTGCCAAGGGCCGTTCACAGTTATAACATCATTCACAGGCCACACAGAATTATCAACTTAAAAATTGGCCTGCTCTATTTGTCAAACATTTAATTAACTCACCCATAATGCCTTGGCGGGGCCAGACCAAATGATTTCACAGTCCTTATGTGGCCTGCGGGCCAGACGTTCCCCACCCCTGGTCTAGAGACTTGCATTGGAGAGAAATGCGTGTACCTTCTAGATTTTCCCCACTTAGCTTTTCCACTCCTTCTTCACACAGTCACTCATTCCTCTCGGCCCCTGAGGGTAGCTATATGGAGAGGAGGACAGCTCGGGAGCAACATGGTCTTTCCTGGCTGGCACCGATATAAAATGGCATTCTACCAAACATGAGTTCACAATCAAACCTGTAAAACAACCCTGGCAGCGTGCTCAGTGGTTAGAGCATGGCCTATGCACCGAAGGGCCTTGGTTTCAATTTCCAGTCAAGGGCATGTAACTCAGTTGCAGATTCAATCCCCAGCCCCAATCAGGGCACGTGCAGGAGACAATCAATGTCTCATATCGATGTTTCTCTCTCTCCCTCCCCCATCAGCCCTCCCTTCCCCTCTTTCTATAAAGCAATGGAAAAAACAAACAAAAAATATAAAACACTTAAGTAAACAAGAAAGCATGAGTGACAGCAAAAGTAACGAACTTCAAACTTAGACCCAAAAACACTGCTGATTTTGGCACCACTGAGTATAATAATAAAAGTGTAATATGCTAATTAGACCAGACGTTCTTCCAGACAAAGCCAGGGCTGCGAGGGTGGGTCTCAGGTGCCAGAGGGAAGCCGGTGCCAGCAACCAGGGGAAGGAAGGCCTACTCTTGCACAAATTTCATGCATTGGGCCTCTAGTAAAATATAAAATTAGTGTGTTTAAGATATTCAAAGAAATAAGAATTTTATACAGGAGTAAAAAGCAAGATGTGCCGAACCGGTTTGGCTCAGTGGATAGAGCGTTGGCCTGCAGACTAAAGGGTCCCAGGTTCGATTCTGGTCAAGGGCATGTACCTTGGTTGCGGGCACATCCCCCGTGGGGGGCATGCAGGAGGCAGCTGATAGATTTCTCTCATTGATGTTTCTAGCTCTCTATCCCTCTCCCTTCTTCTCTGTAAAAAATCAATAAAATATATTTTTTTAAAAAAGCAAGATGCTTTCAACAATGACCATGCAGATTTGAAAAAAAATACCTAAATTGAACTTTTAAAAATGAAAAACATACTAATTAAAATTAAAACTGGAAGGAGATTAGAGCCAAGTGAAGAGAGAAGTAGGGAACTGGAAGATGAACTTGAAGAACACAGTACAGATAGACAACGAGATGGAAAATGCAAAAGGTAGATTAAGCAACATATAGCATAGAATGAAAAGGTCTGATGTACATTTAATTGCAACTCTCAAGAGTTTAAAGAGAAGAAATATTTGATATGTTAATAGCTGAGAGTTTTCAATAACTGATGGCAAATACAATCCACAGATTTAGGAAGCACAACAGATCCCAATCTAAATAGATTTTTAAAAAATTCACACATGGTCACATGTTATTTAAACCAAAGAACACTGGAGACAAAAAGAAAATCTTAAAAACAGCCAGAGAGACGAGACAGATCGCTTACAAAGCAAGGATAATTCGGTCGGTAGCTGACTTCTCAAAACAACCAACCACAAAAGTCAGGGGGAGCGGAGTGATGACTTGAGAGTGTGGACAGGAGGTACCTATTAATCTAAAGTGGTATGCTCAGTGAAATTATCTTTCAAGAACAAGAATGACGTCAAAACTTGGGTTTTTTGATAAACAAGAACTAGTCGAGTATGGTACCCACAAACTATCACTAAAGACTTCCTTCAGAAAGAAGGGGGAAGACCTCAAAAGAAGATACAAAACGCAGGAAGAAATGATGTGCAGAAGAACATGGAGGTGATTCTAAAACACTTTCTAAACCAAACCCACTATTTTATAACGTGGAAGAGCAAGATGGGATTAAAACAACAGACCAAACAGCAGAAAGTCCGGAGGAGGGAATCGTTAGGCAAATCTGCGGGTGAACATAATGAAGTTAACTGCTTCATAGCAAAGAACTGAGCCCAGATGCTTCAAGCAAGGGCAGGTTTTCTGTCCGCCCAGGACCCTGGGACCTGCAACGCCAGAGCCTGGCAGGAGGGGGGTCAGCGGTTCCAATGTATGTGTTGCTTTCGCCAACAGGTTTGAAGATGCCTCCTCCTCAGGGTGCTGTGGAGTTCCTCAGATCTCTTCGGAACATGCCCTCCCACCAACTGCTTCCTTCCTCACTTCCCCAAGTGCCACTTCTCCCAGGTGCCCCTCTGACAACGGGCTGGGCGCCACCCACTGTGCAGCCTTCCAGCTTCCCCTCTCCGGAGGCGGGCAGCCTGCGCAGAGCCATGGCGATGCTCATACAAACCCGTGAAACGCGCTGTGTTCCCCCAGGCCCACAGCAGCGACCGATTCCGCTGTCACGGGGCTTAAATCAACCGGAGACAGCGTGGAGCGTGAGTCCCTCCTGCTGGGTCACTGACTGTCAGGCCCTGATCACATGTAGTTGTGTTCATCATGAGTCCTGACCACACACGGAGGTGAAAATGCTTTATTTCACAGTTTAAAACATTGCAATGCAATTCGTTCTGTATATTTGACACTGAAAAGAAGTCCCGGGCAACAGACAGACAGTTCAGTTTCGATGCCACAGACGAGGCACAAAAACGAACAGGTAGGTGACGCGGGCAGCACCTTCCTCAGCCTCCATCCCTTCTCCTTCCTCCCGCAGGAGGCTCTCGGGCAGCGTGTACACCTTCGCCCCAGAGCGGTGCTCCCTGGAATCCACAGTGAGGGGCTCCTCTCGTTCAGCCTTCCCGGGAGCAGGTCCAACCCACCAGCCAACCACCACCACCGCCGTTGCCTCCCTCGGTATCTGCCCTCTTCGTTCTACTGAAGACTCCTGAATGCAGGCAAGTGGCAGTTAGATCCTAAGCAGGTCACCCCCAAGGCCTGGAAATCTGAGTCTCGATGAATCTGTACTTTGGCTCAGAAATCCCTCTTCAAGGAGGAGTCTAAAATCTGTGACACAGTTATCCAGGCGCCCCCCAGCATGAGCAAGGCTGAGTCCCCGGCACATCAGCAGTCGCTGGGCAGTGCCCGGGTAGGACGGGCAGCGTGTCTGTGCTCACAGCTTCCCTCCATGGCGCCAGGTCGGAGTGCAGGACTCCTGCCACCGTGCTCGGCGGGTGGTATGGAGGGTCAGCCAGACCCCAGGCCCTCAAGAGTCGCAGGAACTGGAAAGAACCCTAGACAGACAGTCCGTGGGCCTGGCTCTGGGTTTTTGAAGCTCCTTTTCAACCTCTTCCACTTTGTTTGAGGGACCCCAGCATCCCCCCAGCCTCTCACAGACCCATGAAGCAGGGCATGTGGGAGTGGCCTGTAAACAGCAACACGCTGAGCATCAGGCAAATATTAGAACCCCCTTCTCCCCACCCCGGCAGCGGGAGCCCAGGCGGCTGCTTGCAGCAGCTCACGAGTGTCCTCGCCCCACTCGGATGTCCAGAGCCCCCAACTCTGAGTTTCACTGATCAGCTTCCCGGGAGGTCGGAGGGGGATCCTGGCAGGAAAAGCAAGGCCCTTGAAGCACCTGGACCCCACGTTAGTCAATTTGGATCCTTACACCCAAGTCAGCTTCAAACTCCTGTAAGGTTCGGGCAGCACTGGACCCGGGTTGGGAGGATGGGTCGTGAGGATTTGCTGCTTCTTGCCCATCCCACATGAGCAGTTGAGTCATCTGTGTGGGCAGGCGGTTTGGGGAATCACGGATCCAGCAGAAAAGACCTAAGGCTTGGCGTCCAGAGACCAGGTTCCGCGTGTGACTTCACCAGTGGGCAGCGGTGTACTTCTCCATCGCTCAAGCCGAGGCTGCGGCCTCTGGCAGAGGCGGCCTGAGTCTAGTCCAGGAGCCGTGTGAGTCTTTGAGACGAGTAGCACTGACGGGCGTGGCGAGGTGTTTTGAGCATGGAGTGCCTGGGGGTGAGCGGCAGCCCCCTCCCCACCCCGTGCCAGGGGCAGAGTGAGGCTCAGGAGATGAGGCCAGTCTCCTCTGTAAGATTTTCTGTATCAGGAGGGTGGCCGGCAGCACTGGAGGCTGCGGAACGGAGCCGGAACAGCCAGGACAGCGCTCCGGTGAGCACACGTGGGCGGAACAGCTGGCATGCACTGTCAGCTCGGTGACAAACGTCCCCGGCTTCCTAAGGAGTCTCTGCACGGCCCAGAGACGCAGTTCATCTACCAGGGGACACTCTGCCACCTGCATCCACGTGCCCTCAACACATCCCCGACTCACAGGCAAACACAGCAGCTCACCCATCATCCCATGGGCCCCCCGCCTCCCCCTCCCTCTCCCAGGTCCCCTTTCTTTATTAACATTGGCTTTTCCAATCACTGAGAATATCATGAACTAAGATAGATGGACACACAAACAACTAAAATATCAAAATATCCCCATTTAAATAAAAAACGCACACACTTTAATCTCCGGGTCTGCTGTCACTTATCCATAGCAGGGCTTCACATGACGTGCACAGAACCTCCCCGTTCTCTTTGGGCGTGTCCTGTTTCCCCAGGTCCCAGTGGACAGAGACCAGTCTCACCCCAGACTGGCTTTGTGCCCCAGGAAGCCCGGGAAGGAAGCTGGGCCAGCCCTTCCTCTGAGGGCACACGACTCAGGAGAGCAGGAGCAAGGGCGGGCCAGGAAGCCTGGGCGCCGAAGGCACCTCTGCCTTCCCTTGTCCGCCAGCCTCACCTCCTGCCCACGTACCCAGAAGCGACTGTCTTCTCTCTTCCCTGCAGGCCTTGACGTCTCAGTCACTCTACAGACAAGCTGGCCCAGCCCAGGTCACTGCATGTCTGTCACTGCCTGCACCTGTGTCGTCCTTGGAATTGCAGGTTTCCAATTTTAGTCCTTTCCCACTGCCTCCTCCACCGTCACCCAGGCCAGAGTGCCCGGCTCGGAGCAGCAGTGTGTGGGGGCTCTGTGGCGGGCGTGGGGGGCTCTTTGGTGGCGAGAAGCCTGATTCAGGGTGTGGATGAAGAGATAATAACGCCTGCAGCTACCGGTGTTCTCCAAGATTGCCTGAGCACGTCCACTCCAAAGCTGGTGACTAAGAAAGGGTGTTTTAATCATCTTTTCCATCTGCAGCAGGGCCCAAATGGACAGACTAGACCTAGGCTTTTGGAGGCCAGGGACAGCAGCACGTCTGAGACTCAGCACCAGGGTTATGGCTCATGTCTTCCAGCCCTTGGAAGTGCCAGCACTGGCTGAACTGTCCGCCTGGATCCTTTCAGACAGGCCAGAGCCACCGTGGAGTCTTTGGTAGCCCAGTTCTCCAAGCAATGGTATCAACCCATCCACTGGCCGCACCCAGCCACTTCTTCATTTCATTGCACACATACGACTGTTTTGGCCAATGCAAATGGAATGGTCCTCTGAGATGAGGCCCAGCTCCAGTCAGGTGGCCCTGGAGAAGCCCAAGGAGATGCTGAAGGAGGAAGCTGAACAGGGAGCCACAGGTAGAGGATGGACCCGTGTGGCAGGCGAGCATCCTCCAGGGATTGGACCCAACCACGAGTCCTGCCATATAGCCTGGGCAGAAAGGCTTTGGCCAAAGTCTGCCCAAGAAAGTGGAGACTGTGAGACACCCAAGGTTGGATGGAGTCAGGGATTCAGGGCTGGACAGTGAATCAAGAAGATGATGAACATGTAAAGAGAGCAACGTCTCATGCCTTGAGTAGGAGTCAGCGATGTGGGCTCGCTCACTGGCGGTGGTTCTGCTGGTCTTAGCTGGGCTCCCTCATGTCTGCAATCAGAGAGGGGGAGGGGAACTGGGCCCTTTCTCCCATCATGCAGCGGGACAGCCCAGCTCCTTCCCCTGGTGGTAACTGCCAGGTCCCACGAACAGCAAAAGAGGGCAGTCCCATGCCCAAGGATTTCCCGTCTCGCTTGTGTCACATTTGTTACTGGGCCACCAGCCCAATCACATGACCTGGCCATGCCAGATTCCGGGGTGGAGAGGCAGACTTCACTTCTGGGTGAGAAGGAAAGTACAGCCATTTTTTCCAATTTACACAAATTACAAAATCCAGAGTGATCTATTGGGAGGCAGACCTGTCCTTTAGGCCGTGGTGGGACAGGAAGTGCTCCCCCGGAAGCAGCGTCCCTCGGCTCCCAACGCGTCTGGAGCGGCCACAGCGTGAGGCCAAGGTGCGTGGGCACGTCTCCGAGGCCTGGAACAGCAGAGCTGCTGTGGCAGAAACCACGCATGGCAAACGCAGTACGAATCCAGGGAGATCACGTGGAGTTCGGGAGGGAAATAGCCCATATTCCAAGTACGAGAACATGCATTCTTTTCTCTTCACTCCATTACTGCATCCTCTCCTTTCGCGCCCTCTTCTCCTGCACGTGCAGACTTGAAGCATTTATCAAAAAGCCTGTCGGCATGTGGAGGGGGCTCTGTGTGGACCCAGCTCTTGTCCAAGACTCAGGCGTGTGCAGCAGAGAGAAAGAAAGCAGCTTATGTTCTCAGAATGGAAAAGGAATCCACTTAGCTATCCAAACAGGTATATACTCTCTTC